TCTCTCTCTCTCTCTCTCTCTCTCTCTCTCTCTCTCTCTCTCTCTCTCTTCTCTCTCTCTCTCTCTCTCTCTCTCTCTCTCTCTCTCTCTCTCACGCCTTGAGTCACGATGGCGGGCTCATGCGAGAGGCTTCGGACGTCCAAACTTCAAAGCGGGGGGGGAGGGGGTGTAGTCTTCCGGTCGTGCCATGTGAACTGCCCCCCAAGTTTGAATTGCGGCTGATCTTGGCTGCTGATGAACAAAGATCAGCGGCCAATCTAAGATCAGCGGCCAAGATTGGCCGCTGATCTTTGTTTTGTGGAACAAGGGGCCTCCTGGCCCCGGTTCTTATTTTTTCTTGCCCCAGAGTGGTCTGCAAGGCCAAAACCGCAAGCCAGGCCCGAAAAAAAAATAAAAAAATCCCGCCCCCAGCAAAGATGCACTGGGGGGAACCGGGAGCCAACCGGGACGACAGGCCGGAACAACTGGGAGGCTTCCGGTTGGGGGAGAGGTGCCCGGTGCAACCGGGAACCAACACTGAAACCAATGTGTTTGTTTCAATTTTCTGCAGCTATTGCCCACATGGGAAGTGCTAGATGAAAGTTGTTAAACTTGAATGCATGATTCCCTGCTTTTAATTGTTTCATGAATATTTGTGTGGCAATGTATATGCAGGGTCCAAGTGTTGCAGCCCTTCCACCATGGCAATGGCATTTGTTCCTGTTCTGGAGAATGATCTAAGGTCGCTGTGTCAGGAAGCACGCAGGAAGTACCCACCTGTGAAAGAGGCTGCCGAACGTGCCTTGCTGAAGTTACGTTCGGTGTCTGATCCCGAATCTCTAGCAAAGAGTGATGATGTCATGCGTACATTTGTTATTGCATGTGAGACAAAAAATTTGAAGTTGACAGTTATCGGGCTGGCATGCCTTCAGAAGCTGATTGCACATGATGCAGTTGCCCCAGCTGCACTGGGTCAAATCCTTTCCGTTCTGAAAGATAGCCCAGAGAGTTTTGATGAGACTGTACAGTTAAAAACTCTTCAGACTGTCCTCACCATTCTGCAGTCTCAATTGCAGCCTGTAGATGAGGACAGCATGGCAACACTTTTAGGGGTCTGTCTTCGTCTTCTGGGAAGTAGTCGCAACTCGGACAGTGTGCATAGCACAGCAGCTGCTACGCTGCGGCAGGCAGTTGCTTTGATATTTGATCGTGTCCTTTTGGCTGAAGCCCTCCCCAGCAACCCTCGAGGCCATCACACGTCAAGATCGAACTCAGTGTCGGGAGATGTTAGCAGAAGCATCGCTCTGACAAAGTTGATTGATGAAGTTATCAATGAGGGAGGAAAGCAAGCTGTCCGGGACACTCTCACTCCTCAGGGTCGGATGGGACTCAAGTTGTTCGAAGACCTCAGCTCATTGGCCTGTGGGGGGCAGGCCACCTGGCTTGCCATGTCCCCAATGCCTCGAACTTTCTCGTTAGACATGGTTGAGTATGTCCTTTCCCACTATGTCTCTCTCTTCCTCCGCCTTAGCCCATTTACTCAGGTCCTCCGACAGAAGGTGTGCAGCCTCTTGATCACGTCCCTGCGAGCCACAGGGGAGGTTGAGGGTGAGGTAGGGGAACCCAGTTTTCGGAGGCTGCTTCTACGGACAGTGGGCTCCGTTGTACGGTTCTACAGCTCGGTCATCACAACAGAAGTGGAGGTGTTTCTCACGATGTTGATCAGGGCGATGGACATGGAGCTGCCACTATGGTACCGGATATCTGTTCTTGAGATATTACGAGGATTTTGCGTAGAAGCCAGGATGTTGAAGACAATCTTCCAGATCTTCGACATGCGACCAAAGAACACAAATGTTGTTGCTGACCTGGTGGCATGTTTGGCCAAGGTGGTCAGCATTGTACAAGGGCCAGTAGCGGAGTCTGGGGAAGAGAGCCTGGTAGCTGTGGCAGGGATATTCAGCAGCAAGGCGCAAGGTGGTGTGGACTGGCATATGGACTTTGATTCCATGGGCAACCTTCAACTTCCTGCAAACGAGGCGCATGCTATTGCCCTGGCCTTAGAGGGGCTACTCGGCGTCGTCTTCACCATTGCAACCCTGACAGATGAGGCGGTAGACTCAGGAGAACTAGATTCACCACACGTCGAAGAGACCAATAGCGAACTGGTTGTCCCTCCTGGTGGCCTTGCTGATATCTGCCGGCAGATGGTCGACTCCGTGTGGGTGACACTTTTGGAAGCGCTGTCTCTGATGCTGTCAAAGTCAGTAGGTGAAGCAATTGTCTTGGAAGTTCTCAAAGGATACCAGGCATTCACGCAAGCATGTGGAGTTCTTTGCCTTACAAAGCCACGAGATGCATTTCTAGGTTCCCTTTGCAAGTTCACGCTTGCACATCAGCAAGAGCCAGGCAAGTCCCCAGCCGATGGGGATGGGAGGGAGTGTGCCACGCTGACTGCCAAGAACATTCAGGCGCTGCGGACGCTGTTCAATGTTGCACATCGATTGCACAGTGTCCTTGGGCCCTCCTGGTCTCTTGTTCTGGAGACACTGGCTGCTCTGGACCGAACTGTGCATGCCCAAGATGGATCATTGCTGCCACGACCAAATAGAGACAATTCTAGTCAGTTCACTGACCTGTACATCCTATCCACCTTGGATGCACAATTGTTCGAGAGTAGTTCACTGATGAGCGACTCGGCAGTGCAATCACTCCTCTCGGCACTTCGGCATGTCTGCAGTAACTCCCTTGCTGGTGTGACCACTGGACTGGGGTCATCGGCATGGATGAGCACTGCAGGGGCAGCAACCTCCATGGGGGGGGCTACGCAGGCAGTTCCCAAAATGTTCAGTGTGGAGCGGATGGTGGACATTGTTGTGCATAATATGCAGAGAGTAGACCGCCTGTGGGGTGAAGTTGTTGCGCACCTCCTTGAACTCTCATGTCATGAGAGTGCCCAGGTACGCATGGTTGCAATGGATGCTCTCGATCGGTGCATAACAGCTGTGCTAGGCTCTGGAAAGATAGTGGAGGATGCACATGCTGGAAGAGCCAGGGAGGCATCTCAACATGTCGATGATGCCCAGAATACTGAAGTACAGACTAGCACCAAGCTTGGGGTTGTTCAGACATCTGATGATCAAGCTTGCACTGACAATGGGTGTGCTGTGAAAGAAAAAAGTGGCCTTTCTGTGAACGCTTCCGAAGGGTCCATCTCAGGAACAGCGGATGAAAATGTCAAGGCAGTGCCAAGGGTGGTCGTGGAGAACACCTCTGAGCTTGAAGCTACAGATAGCTTTGAGTGTATTGTTATCTTACCGTTGTCCATGCTGTACCATTCGGGACGGGATGTGGAGGTGCGGGCTGGTGCCTTGAGAATAGTCCTCCATGCACTAGAGCGACATGGTGAGAGACTCTTCTTTAGTTGGCCTAAGATTCTTAAACTCCTCAGGGAGGTTGCTGACAGTGGTGAGAAAGACCTTGTGCCCTTGGGATTCCAGGGCGTGACGTTGGTGCTGAATGATTGCCTATCTGCACTCCCAAAAAGACTGGTGAAGTCGTGTGTGGAGGTGGCAGGTGCATATGGCTCCCAGTGCACAGATGTGAACATCAGCCTCACCGCCATAGGTTTGTTGTGGACTACAGTGGACTACTTTGGGAGAAGGAAGGGCGTTGTTAGCGGAGGTGGATGTCCATCTGCCGTTCCTGGTGTGGAGGTGGAGGTGGGCAGGACTAGTCCATGTGATGGTGATACGACCCTGGTAACAGAAGGGGAACGGCTGCAGGACGCAGACATCAAGACTCGAGATTCACAGCCACTGCAGCAGCCACCACTGCCAGAGCTAGATGCCTTCAGTGAGGACATGCTCCATACCATCTACTGCATCATAAAAAACCTGGGCACGGATGAGCGACCTGAGGTGCGGAACTCTGCAATCCGAACTCTTTTTGCGTCCATCGTTAGCCATGGTGCAAAGATATCCCAGGACTTGTGGCAATTATGCCTCTGGAAGTTGCTTTTTCCTCTTTTGGACACTGTACGGCACCTTGCAGCGACATCTTCTCGGGATGAGTGGGTTGGCAAGGAGCTGGGTAAACAAGGAGGCAAGCCAGTTCATATGTTGGTCCATCACAGCCGGAATACTGCACAGAAGCAGTGGGATGAAACACTAGTGGTAGCGTTGTATGGAATGAGTCGCCTGCTGCGATCGTTCTTGCCCATTGTGCACAAGATGAATGGTTTTAGATCTGCATGGGAGTCGCTGCTGCAATTTTTCGAGGAGAGTGTGTTGGAAGGGAGCAAAGAAGTCGCCCTGGCTGCTGTGAATTCGCTGTTCACAATCTTGCAGGCCAATGGTTTGAAAGGGACTGTTCCAAAGTTTCACTGGGAGACCGCACTGGGAACGCTGAATGTCATTGCGAGAAACTCTGCTCACTCTGACAGCCGAGTGCCACTTAAAGCTCGATCGGAGCTGCTTGAGGGCCTTGGCTCCTTGTACAAATCTTGCTATCCTTTGTTCACTCCAAAGGATTACCTGCTCGCATTGTCAATGTTGGACGTCCTCATCAGGCACCCAATTCTGCAAGGAGATCCATCTGTGCACACATCTGCTGTTTTGCCACAGGTGCAAAGAACTGTTCTAGAGGTCCTGCCCTTGATGTATCCCCAAGGAAAGCAATTGGAGATCATGTGGCCGGAGTTCCTGCGTCAGCTGCTTACATATCTTCCTGGTGGGGATGGGGTACTGTGTGAACACCTTCACATTGCCCCGGATCGCACACATCCGCTGGGAGATGGACAAAGTAGTGGTGGCTCACTGATGTTTCCAGCAAATGGGCAGGACCGCAAAGCTCCGAGCCAACCGGATATGCTATCAGAGCGTACAAAATCAGGTGGAAGTCCAAGACGTGTGGGCACTGCGGATGCTGCTCCCAGTGCTTTATCATATGGATTTGCCGAGAGGATTGTTGCTTTGCTGGTTGACCTTTACATCAGTCATGTCACCCCTTCAGCTCGATCTCAAGTTCTCCCTGACATTCTCGGCGGATTGGGGAGGTGCATGGCTATTAGGAGGGATGAACCCAAACTTGCTCTTTGGAGAACGGCAGTAGGTGGCTTTGAGAAGGTCCTTGAGACATCTCTTCTTCCTGACTCCGCAACTGGCAGGCAGGGTGCCTCCTATGAGGTACGGCCAGAACAACAAAGCCATGGTCTCCAACACCCTGTGCATAGCGGGAGCTTGTATGTTGATGCTGATGTCGAAGCAGGATGGAGGCTGCGGATGTGGAAGGAGGTTGTTGATCTGTTTGAAGGCTTCTTAGTGGGAACATGTGGCCGTGCCATGATTACTCAGGCCTCTGAGCGGATAAGCCCTGATCAACAAAAAGCAGATGAGCAGCTGGAGTTCTTGGTGCTGGACTTGCTTTGTGACAAAGTTCTGGTATCATGCCAAGACGCACCCATGGATGTCATTGGACGACTTGTATCCGTTGTGGACCAATGTGCAGGTCGTACCTCAAGTCTGCCAGTGCAAAGTGTGGCTCTGCTTCCCCAACACTGTGGCCGCTTCTCCCTAGCATGCCTGCGTAAAGTCTTTGGAATGTGTGAGCGGGGCTCGTTGCAGGATTCTGAATCATCCTCGGCCATACGGGTTGCCAAGGTTGCATTACCTGTCTTGATCAGTAGGTGTGAGTCGATTTTTAAAAGATTCTACGAGGACGAGGAACAGACACACTTGAAAGGAATGCCGTCAATACGGATGGAAGAGTTGATATGCTTGTTACAGGAGCTTGCCAGACTGGTGCTCCATCCCATCGTGGCAGCATCTCTTGATGTTCCTGTTCATGTTCAAGAGGAGAAGGGTCCACTCATGGCAGGTGCTCATCCTTGTCTCTCATCCTCGGCAAGGGACATTTCAATGAAACGACACAGAGGAGGATCGCCCTCATCTGTAGCAGTATGGGGACCATTAGCATCAGAGTCACCCCGGTCATTGTCATCATCTCCGCGCTCTGGACATTACCAGGGTGCACACGACGCTCAGATGCGGATAGTTGGGCGAGAGCGTACTCATCTGCTCTTGTTGTATACCCCCTTGTGTGAGTTGATTGTGTGTGATGACATGCAGGTACGCGAGTTGATGCGAGTCCTCCTCAGACTTGCAGGTGGGGAGCTGGGACTTCTGAAAAACGCGGCAAGTTGACTTTCTGATTACCATCACTAGTGGGCCAGGGAAGGCAAAAAAATAGATAGGTAGCCAGAAACATAGATATATGGATAGATAGACATTGTATGTGCTGCTTTTTTTTTTTTTTTTTAGGGTTGTATGTAAAAAATGCATCTTTGAATTTTCTTGCAAGGTGTTGCAGATTGGAATAAATCATTTCTCATATAAGTTTTCGCTTGGAGAATTTTTGTCTTTGAAGATCATCAGAGCAGGTAGTCAATCTGAGTTGTGAATTTATTGTCGTTGGTTGGAAGGACATAGTGCTCTTGGAGGCTTGTATGTCACTTTGTCTAGGACAGAGGATGAGTGCATCTTTATATTGTCTGTACAGAGTGTTCCTTGATGAGGCGGGATTTCCAATCTCTCTCTCTCTCTCTCTCTCTCTCTCTCTCTCTCTCTCTCTCTCTCTCTCTCTCTCTCTCTC